ATTTTTGTAAACAAAAAGGAGAGCTATGCAGCTTCAGTTTCCCTCTACCATTATTTCTCTTCTGTGATGTATTTGTATGGTCAGTTTCAGAAAACGTTGTTGTTGGCTGCCATCAGGTCATCAACTGGGTTTTCATTGGCTGATGTTTTAGAAATTGTTCACCAAGTCTTTCTTCCTGGTCTAGTTTAGAAGCTCTGCTGGAAACCCCTAGCAGCTTTCCTCCATTAATTGGGGAACAATAGTAGTGCTTAAGGTGCATTTACTTGGAATCAAACCCAGGTTCCCCACATGGAAGGCAAAGGAATTCTACTACTGAACTATCACCGCTCCCTTTAAAACAATAAATGGTAACAAATGCCCACTGAGAAAGTTACATGGTCAACGATCTATTGACCTGTTTCTTGCTGTATTACAAGTAGAGCTTATCCTCCCTTCAAAATTTCAAATGATTTAAAGTTGCCTATAATCCATTTATTTTCCTTTTTAAATATGTAGATTCTAAAAAGCTTAATTTTAAATACTAGTGTCTAATTTATTAGTAGTAAAATGCTTCAATGTGATTTAGTTTTTGTTAATCTGCCAAGGTGTGATGCCTATAAAAGATTTTTATTTTTAATTTGCAAACTCCAGGTTGTAATATTGGCTTTAGCACGCCCTAGTTATAAGATCTTGGAGAAGTCATCGAATCTTTCTTTTCATAAGTGTACCCACTTATAAAATAGAAACAACTAAGGATGTTATGCAGCTACTCTTCTCTCACTGCATGGAGTGGATTTCAACTCACAGAAGTGCCCAGTGAGCTCCCAAGGCTACACATCTCTCTGAGAGCAGACAGCCTCATTTTTCTTGAGGGAACGGCTCTGTAGTTTAGACCCTGACCTTGTGGTTAGCAGGAAATCTTCTAGCCTACCAGGGCTCCTTCATGCAGCTATTACTTAGATAAAATAAAATACAATGTATGTAGGTCCTGGCAGATTAACAATGTAGAATTCAATATATTTCATTCCTGTCTCCCCTCCAAGCCTAGGTAGCAGTTCCAGAACTCCAAATACTGTTTGGCAATTCTGAAACCCTAGAGAAGAGAAGGAGGTCAAAGATCAATTTAGTACTTTTTTTTTCTTATTCTGAGCTTTTTAATAAAGCCAGAGCTTTATTAAACATGCATTTTTGATAGTAAATTGTATAGCTTAAAGAAAAGAGAAACTTAAAGAGTACTCATCTATTCTTGCCAAAACAACTTAAAATTCCTACATCTTCTAGAGATTGTTTAGAAAGCATGAGAGCCTTTCTGGACAGCAGTTTGGCACTAACTTACCCTGTGACCCATTATTGTAAGGACAAAACAAGTAAAAATTTAAAAATATGCATAATATTGAAAATGTATATACAATCTAAATGCCCATTAAAAAGAACTGAGTTCATTAAGATATGCCTATGCAGCTGAATTTTTGACAAACATATAAAAACGTGGAATTGACGTGGAATGAAAAACCTAGAACTAAACATACAAGTGGAAAAAATCATTGGGATTTAACACATTTTTACTCTTGAAGTGTAATAATTTTTTACTGTTTAAAAACCATAGGGTTTTTAAGCTAAATAAAACAAAAAAAGACCATTTTATCTGGCAATATTATCAAAAGACAAATTAATATAATTTTTGATTACTAGGCACAGTAAACAAGCTGTGAGTAAATCAATTATTTAAAAGTAACTATTGTACTACTCATTTAAAACAAGTATGTATACACACATGAGTACATATATTTACCTGATGATGATGAAGTTAGTGAAGCTGAAGATGATGAATCAAGAGATGGTCCAAACAGGGGGTCCCAAGCAAGTAAATCACTGGTACCTTTCCTATCATAAATCATTTTAAAAATAAAAAGTTAAGCAAAAGGCTATCAGTATAAAATCTAGTAACTTACATCTTTATTTCATAAGAGAAATTATAATAGCTGATTAAAAAAAAGGGTACTATTCCAATGGCATATGAAGAAACCTAACAGATTTCATTAACCATTATGTGTTTGGACATGTTGTCAGGAGATCAATCCCTGGAGAAGAACATTATGTTTGGTAAAGTGGAGGGGTAGCGGACAAGAAGACCCTCAACAAGATGGATTGATTGACATAGTGGCTCTAACAATGGGCTCTCAAACAGACCGACGATGTTTGGTTGTGCTGCACGTAGGGTCCCTGTGAGTAGGATTCAATTCAGTGGCAGCTAACAAAAACATCATGTGCTACACAAAGACTCTACAGTAGCATTACACCTACTCCTACATCATCGACTCCCTTATAGTCTATTATGTATGCCAACAGTAAAACATTTACTGTCCATGTTGTGCAACATGCCTAGTACAACTTTTTTCCCCCCTCCCTTCCCATTTAGGTGCTTCCTCAGTTTGAATACTCTTGGGCCATGGCCATCTAAAGGTCACAGCAAAATTTTAAGAAGGAGAAATTTTCCGTGAGAATAATTAGTTTGAAAACAGATATCCATGAACTTTGGAATTCATCACTTAGTTTAGAAGTAGCTAGGATACTGATGTCAATTATAGACAAATGGAAGCTTGGGGGCGCGGAGGAGGGGTAGAATGGACTGCTAACCACAAGACTGGCAGATGAAACAGCTGCTCCACAGGAGACAGAAGAGGCTTTCTGCTCTCAAGAACGGCCTTGAAAACCCACAGGGGCCGTTCTACCCAGTCCTGTTAGGTTGCAATGAGTTGGAATCACCTTGACGGCAGAAAGTTAGATTAAAAAGGAGTTTTGCCAAATTGAGAAATAACCTAAAGCATCCAAAAGCTCCACTGTGGCATTTGACTGCTTAGAAAACAGGGTGATTTGCACAACTCTACTGGAATTAGAACTGCAAAAGTAATAAAAACACCTAAAAAATGGACAAAAGTAAGCTATTCCAAATTTAAAGGGAAACTTACTCATTAGATGGACCAGGTGGCTTTGATTTTGTTAATTCTTCACCTAATTAAGAAAAAATAATATGAAAAATTAATAATTCAAGTAATAGAATATTTTCATTTAAGATGAAACACTGAACACAAACATCAGTGTGTACTTTAAAAATTATGGAACTACTGACATATATTAAACAATTATGAAGAAAAGGAGAGTTTTTAACATGTTTTTTATCATGCTTAATATAAAAGTGGCTGAATTTCTACAAAATTTTCGTTTCTTTTATAATCCTTGATAAAACAATTACTTAAATCAACAATTTATGTTATTTACTAAAATAAATTGCTTAGGAGAGAAGAGTTGTAACTTTAAAAGTTCAAAGTAATGTTTTTAAATGTATATAAACTGGACTAAAGAATTTTTATCAAAGTATTTCAAGTTCTAACAATATTGTTAGCTACTATTTGACTTAAAATTCCTGAAGGAAGCAAATTTTAGAAAATTAAAAATTTTATATACCTACAGCAATTAATCTGAGTAAAATTTGTTTTGCTGCCTTTGTGTATGTATGTGGTAAATACACATAGTAAAGCGTTTTCTGTTTCAATCACACTTAGATGTACAAGTCAGAGACATTGACTGTCATCACTATGTAGTACAACCGCCACCCCTGACCATTTCTACTCCCTCCCCACCAAAACTCTTAACAGAAATTCAGAATCCAATTCCCCCCTCCCACTAGACCAGGGTAATATTAGTAACCTTTGGTCTCTATGCACTTGCCTGTTCTAGATATTTATTACTGGGATCACACAATGTTTGTCCTTATCTGTGTGACAATCCACTTAGCAAAATGGCCTCAAGGTTCACCTATGCTGTAGCATGTAGCAGGACATCATTTCTCTTTCTGGCTGTAAAACCTTCCACGGCTGTACAGGCACTTTTGTTTATCTGTGGTGGACACTTGGGTTACCACCGCCTTTTAGCTACTGTGAATAATGGTGCGATGAACAGTGGAGTAAAAATATCTGTTTGAGTCCCTGCTTTCAAATCATCTTGCGTACAGACTTAAGAATGGCATTGCTGGGTTACATGATAATTCTACATTTAAGACTCTATTGGATGATGTGATAGGCTGGATTGACTACAGAAACAAATTCCTTGATACTCATATGTGTGTAAGAAAGAGCTTTATATCAAGGAGTAGTTGGATATAAAGAAGACATCCCAGCCCAGTCCAATTCAAGTCCCCATGTCCGATACTAGTCCATAAGTCCCTCTTCAGACTCATGACAACACACGCAAGGATGCAGAATGCAGAAACATCACCGATCAGTGGATGCAAAGTCTCGTGGATCCAATGGTGATGGATGCATCTCCAAGGTTCTCGCAGGTTCAGCATGGCTCATCAACAGGAAAGAGAAGGCAGAGGGATGAGGGAGGTTCCCAGAACTCTCCTTATAGAGGTCACGCCCACGAGGAGGCACCATCCGGCTGTGACCTGACTGACCCCTACACTTTTAGATCTTCAAGTTGACACAAAATGATGTAACCACCACAGACGATCTTCAACACAATTTTATTTGTAAGTAATAGCAATGACATTGTCCTCTAATTTGAGCATCCTGCTGGGTCACTTTTCTTTGGAATGGCTACAAATATAGATCTCTTCCGATCAGTTTGCCAAGTAACTGTCTTCCAAATTTCCTGGCATAGAGAAGTGAGTGCTTCTAGTGCTTCATCAGCTTGTTGAAACATCTCAATTGGTATTCCATCAATTCCTGGAAGCAGCTTGAAAGGCTTCCTTCATTCAGTACTGTTGGATCTTGCTTATTTGCTACCTCTTGAAATGTTGGAATGTTGACTAGTACTCTGGTACAGTGATTCTGTATTCTTTCCATCTTCTTTTGGTGCTTCCAGCATCACTGAATATTTTGTCCATAGAATTTTTCAATGTTGTAACTCAAGGCTTAATTTTTTTTAATTTAAAAAAAGGTTTACGTTTAAGTTATGCTGAGTGTGTTCTTCCTCACTAACTCTACATCTTTGCACATGTCACATACATGGTACCCATTCAACAGTGTGGTAAACTGAATGGGAATGTAATGCAGCTAAATCCTCTATGCTCAAAATTACAGGTCTGGGGAGCCGACTTTGGTGGGGGAAGACCCTCACAGTTATGAGGTATAAATAATTCTTAATACACATTCTCATGACCGAACATAGCCCCTCCAATTAACCCCCCCTCCCAATAAAGGAACTGTCATAAAGGAACTACCTTATTAGATGAATCATTTGTACATCTGGCTGTTCTCTGTGCCTGGAGGTTATCTGTAGGTAAGAGTAATCAGACTCTATAGGCGAAGAACCCACTGTAAAATGTAGCAAACCCCTGAGGAGGGCTCAAGGGCGTTCAAGATCAACTAGCACTAGGTTAAGACACTGAGTCATTTCATTGCTTGTTTACTATGTTATCCACTTATGATATTATCCATTGGCTAGCTATTATGTTTGTTGTATGACATGTATGCCTTCTGAAAGATCTGTAAACCCCATAATATATACCAGCAGTTCTCAACCTGTGAGTCTCGACCCTTTTGGGGGTTGACCAACCCTTTCACAAGGGCTGCCTAAGACCATCGAACAACACATACATATTTCACAATATATAATTACATATTGTTTTGTGATGAATCACTATTCTTTCATTATGTTCCATTTGTAACAATGAAAATACATCCTGCATATCAGATATTTACATTACGATTCACTAACAGTAGCAAAATTACAGTGTAGCAACGAAAATAATGTTATGGTTGGGGGTCACGACAACATGAGGAACTGTATTAAAGGGTCACAGCATTAGGAAGGTTGAGGACCACTGATATATGCCGATTGGAAAACACATTCACACTCAGTCCTGACATAGGGACAAGGAGCTCTGGGCTCCACTGTCTTTGTCTGTCTCATTTTCTACAATCACAAAGTTGCTCCTGAGGACTCGGAGTGTTGGGGACCCCCCCACCCCAAAACAATGGTTGTTTCTTCATGTTTTACTACCTTCTGTATATGTAACTTGAATTGCTTTTCAAAAGCAATTGGCAAAGAAGTGAACAGTATCAGTAATATAAAAGTTTTTTATTTATTAACAAGCAATTTTCCTGGTATCTTATTGTTCTGCAGAACCAAACAACTGATGAGTGCGAAGTACACAATATGAGTAACGGCAGCAAATTACTACAACGCCCATTTATACCACATTCTTGCTTTTGGCGCAATTTGATCATGTTTGCTCTGCCTCAAAGGCCTCACTGTGCTGTTCTCCATCAGCTTTGTGCATTTTGTCCTCATCTCCGTAACTGTGCTGCCTCTTTTTATCCACATGTGACTCATATACCTACAATTGAAATATTGTAACATTTCTTTTAGAAAGGTGAAATTGTTTTATTTGGCATTTATGAATTTAGTAAAGTCTTAAATTGTACAAGAATTTCTATTAGAATTTATGTGGCACAGCTGAACTACTTGGTATGGCTCTTCTATCCATAGTGTTTGTAACTCGCACTAAATGACTGAGTGGTATAATGCAAATCAAATGTGGGACTCCAGTGGTGGAAGATTTCTCATTCAGCTGAGTGAGCTCTCATTCATAGAACGAGCTCTCTCAGAACCGGGAACGAGGGCTTTCCCCCTTCAGCAAAGAAGAACCATAAGCAAAACTCTGCCTCGAGATCTTTATGCAGAGTCAGCAGTGGGGTGGCACCAGGAATGTGAGACAGAGTGGCAAGGGCGAGAAGTCAGACGTGACCTCCACATACTTTTACAGATGTTACAGCTTTTATTTCAATGTTCGTTTTACAAAATTACATAGGTTTTGAGTGAGCTGTTCAAATCCTATTTTCCCCATGAACTTTGTTATTTTTGATGTATGATTCGTGTATTAAAGTTTAAGGCATGTTTTTCTTGTTTGTAAAATTGTAGCTTTATCAAACTTTATAGAGGAAATTAGTCTTCCAATTAACAATTCACACACAGCTCATTTTGTCACCTCAATTCCAATTCCACTGATGTAGCAACATTCTTCCCACTTCATCCCTGAGCTCTCCTTTTCCATGTGCTTTCTTTCCAGCCCCATCCTGCCTTTTGTTCTTGTATGGTTGAATATTCTGAGGAATATTTTCTTCACTATTGTTACTGTTTACCTTATGAGCCTGTCTGATGTTTGACTGGAAGGTGAATCCAAAAAGTGGGTCCGTTTCAGGTTTGCAGGTCGTCTGAGGGCCACAGTCTCGGGAAGTCCTCCAGCCTCTCTCAGATCAGTTAAGTCTGGTCTCTTCTCAATCATTTTGACCAGGACCTTCTGGGGTCCCCATCAGAGGTAGGCTGTGGTAGCTGGGGGCTGTCGAGGTCTTCCAGTGTCAGGATAATAGAGGCAGAGGTTTACATGATCGATTAGTCCTGTCTCCTGGAGTCTTTTGACTTTATTCACTTTTTGTTTCTTGGGAGAGAGAGAGAGGCCAGTACTTGCTTCCTAGAAGGCTGGTGTTCAATCACTAAGGCCCTAGTCACTACTCAGACAGTAGAGTATAGAACCTTGTCTTTTTGCATTACTTTATGCCAATTAGCAATGCCCAATACCACGGTTCTACGAACTCCAGCTTAGTGATTCATTCCAACAACGTTGGTGGTTATGGCTAAGAAGTATCCATAACATGCTAAGTTATGCTTTTTCATTCTTTAGGAAAAAATAAAGGTATCTTCCCTTCTTTTAAAGTAAGACACATCCTTCTAGTCTATATTTAAGGCTGCGATGAGAAAAACCATTTGTTCTATAGCTGCACAGACGGAAAAATTAACCAATTGTCTAATAAACTTAACAGACATAAAATAACCAATTAAGTATCAAACTTACTAGAAGAATTCCGATTCATCTGCACCTAAAATGAAAAATTGAAAACTAAGTTACATTAAAGAAATAATTTAATTTAGTAAGAAATTAATACGAGGAATCCAATTTTTTTAAGTTGTTTTAAATTTTGAATAGCAAGCTATACTTACACAAAAAAGACATACAGAAATAACTGAATCATTTTTGTTTTGTAGTAGGAAGTAATTATACATGCAACTTCAACAGCCAATATTTTAAAATAGTCGCATCTACAGCAAGATGCTGTGGCCTGCTAACCTAAATAACACAAATATTTTTTAAATCAATACTGAAATATTACAAAAGACTTTTGAAAATCAATAGGTAAAAAGACAAAATGTTATACTTACTGGGCTATGTCTCTAGGAGTACATGGAAGAAAAGAGAAAGACACGGTCAGTTTAGAATCAAAAATGGAGAATATACCTGCTCTAATAATTTGTCTATTCACCTTCTGAATCAGATATCAAATACATTCATCTGAAAAATGCATACAATGGGAAAGCGGAAGGACCTTTAGTTAGATACACAATAAGGAAATGGGGCTTTAGAATATTCTCTTTTCAAATCTATTATTAACTGCTAAATTGTGCTTATTTCTATTCATTTGCCGAACATGAAATGATTTTTTAATGAGAAAAAAGAGAACACAATCTAAAACCGCTCGTGGTCATCCTACCAGAGATTGCATTGATTACATACACTCACTTATCAAGATGGTAACTTGGGTTCCTGAGGCGAGGCCGCTATGAGAAAACTGCTGTTATGTGAAAGTGAGGGATGAGCCAATCAAATCACAAACTGGAGGATCATTCCACAACTACCAAACCACCATGTAATTGCCAGACCACTCAACATATGGCGTAGGCAAGCTGACACAAAACCATAAATCAGAGCTAGCAGGACTCTCTCACTGCATGGCAGTGTCTGTTACTGTCAGACTTAGGTCACTAATACACAAAATTGTCAAATAATAGATTTTTAACTGTCATCATATATGGGAAATGTTGAATAATGAGATAAGTGATAAGTGAGGAGTAGGTGCATTATATCTTCGAAAATTACTTACACTCTCAATTTTTAATGCTTTTTACAATATCCTATTTAATATGTATACATCAAAAGTTATTAAACTTTTCATAAGTCAATATAAATCCTAATGTTAAATAACAATGGCACAATAAAACTCTTACTTCTAAATCTATGTATTTGGTATAAAAATAGTTTTAATATTAAAAATGCTAAATTTGCATGAATGGGAAAAATATTTTTTCTAAACAAATATGTACAGACTATTTAAAACATATTAGATAATCATGAAATGAGTATACATTATGTCATATTAATTACATATTTATACATGTTCTTTTAGTAAAGAGAAACAATTTAATGTAATTATGATAGTCATTTATAGAGATAACTAATTTTCATTTTAATGCATGCTTTTATCCAACAATTGAACATATCTGAATTTAGTATATATCAACATCAACTGAATAATTTATTATGCTGTTTTTTCCCTCCCATAAAAGCTAAGAAAAATATAATATCTTAGAATCAAGGAACTAGCCATCATTATCACTAAGAAACATTATGTTTGTCTTTTCTTTTAAGAGAAGTCTGAAAAAAGAAATGTTCAAGAAACAGATCAAAAAACAAAGATATCATTTCATCTTCAAATTCATTATTATGGAATTCCCTGGTTCCTAAGCTTCATAAAACACAGGACAAAACTTTAAAATTAAATGAGGAAAAGATGTATGCTGGCAGTTCACAAAATTCTTCCTGAGGTTACAGAAAATAAAACAAATGGCAGCAATAGTGGATTTTGCAGATGTTTAGTTGCAAAACACTTTCAAAAACAAATCAAATAAAGCCATACTTAAAAATGTATCCTCCTGTATATAAATACACTTTAAACTAATTTCCTCATTTCTCTTAGTCTAATATGTCGTAGTTAAATAAAGGTTTCTATGAGAACAGTACTTACAGATACTGCTGGGGATAACGATATATTCCCTATAGATACTTTCAATTCATCCAAAGACGCCAGGGTGTGATGGGCGTTATTTGGATGAGCAGGTTTGATTTGTATCCGGTACTTCTTTGGTTCTTCATCGTCAGAGTCAGAGTCACTAGATGAGTAGAAATGGTTCTCTTTGGTATGTAAGTGTCAGCTAAGGAATTTCTATACTAAATTACCTTAGTGCATAACCACTTTTTACATACTGTATTTATAGAAAGCAAAAAG